AATGCATTTTTAGCACCAACAGAACAATAGTACTGACCTTGACCAGTACCAGGGTCTTTGCCATCAATAAACCCCAAAGGTTGTTTAGTATCAAAATCATACAAAAAATACTCTTGCTCAAATCCAAGCCACAGAAAAATTAATAGCAGAAGGGTTAGCCTATGAAGTGGAGGGTTCTGTTTATTTTGATGTAAAGAAATATAATGAAACTGGAAATTATGGTATTTTAAGCAAGAGAGACATAGAACAACTTCTTAACCAATCTAGAGATTTAGAAGGAACATCAGATAAAAAAAATCCGCAAGATTTTTCTTTGTGGAAAAAAGCTCTTCCCCAACACATTATGCGTTGGAAATCACCATGGGGAGAAGGGTTTCCGGGGTGGCACATAGAATGTACAGTTATGAGCACCAAATATTTAGGAGAACAATTTGATATACATGGAGGGGGGATGGACTTAAAATTCCCTCATCATGAATGTGAAATAGCTCAGGCACAGGCATTAAATAAAAAAAATCCTGTTAATTATTGGCTTCATGCCAATATGCTCACTTTAAATGGAAAAAAAATGAGCAAATCAACAGGAAATACACTTTTACCTGATGAACTTATTTCTGGTAAAAATAATTTTTTTGAAAAGCCTATTCACCCAATGGTTTTGAGGTTTTGTATGCTGCAAGCACATTATAGAGGTGTTTTGGATATCTCAAACAATGCATTAATAGCTGCAGAAAAGGGTTTTTTTCGTTTAATGAAGGCTTTAGATGAGGTAAAAAAGATAAAGGCTCAGGAAAAATCATCTTTAAATATCACCAATTGGATTAATAGCTGTTATGATGCTATGAACGATGATTTTAATACACCCATTTTAATTGCTCAGCTTTTTGAAGCTATAAAGTTCATTAATCTCTTAATAGATAAAAAAGAAAGCATCAATCAAGCTGATTTAGATACGTTTATTTCAGTATTACACGGTTTTGTATTTGATGTATTGGGGTTATTTCCAATAATTCAAGCAGATGAAAATACAGAGAAATTAGCCCAAATGGTTGAGATTTTAATTAAAATGAGAAACAAGGCTAGAATAGAAAAAGATTTTGTCACATCAGATACAATAAGAGATCAACTTCTTCAGGTTGGCGTGGAGCTTAAAGATGAGAAGGAAGGAACCACTTTTAGAGTAATATAGTTGATAAACTCCAAGGCAGACATTTAATATATTCAAAAGATATAAAATATTCCCTTCTTTTTAACTAGATTGTTGATTTAATGTTGTATTTTATTACATTTGCTTTCTTAATGTGAAATTAATATACTAAAACAAATATGGGTTTATATGTGATTTATTTGCCAATTGTTATGGCAGTTATAGGGTTAATTTTTATGGCATACAAGCGTTCATGGGTATTAAGACAGGATGCTGGCGATGGAAAAATGAAAGATATTTCAGATTATATCTATGAAGGGGCTTTGGCTTTTTTAAAAGCAGAATATAAATTGTTGGCTGTATTTGTAATACTTGCCAGTATTGCTTTAGCAGCAATTACCTTTATACCTGGGGTAAAAACAAATCTATTAATTGTAATAGCATTTGTTTTTGGAGCTATATTTTCAGCCTTAGCAGGAAATATGGGTATGAAAATAGCCACCATGACCAACGTAAGAACTACTCAGGCCGCAAGAACAAGTTTACCACAAGCTTTAAAAATATCTTTTGGAGGTGGGACTGTAATGGGGTTGGGCGTTGCAGGGCTTGCAGTATTAGGGTTAACCTCATTTTTTATTTTGTTCTTTCAACTATTCATGAAAGGAACATGGACCTCCTCTGAAGATATGACTGTTGTGTTAGAGACATTAGCTGGATTTTCTTTAGGAGCAGAATCTATTGCTCTATTTGCTAGAGTGGGAGGAGGTATTTATACCAAAGCCGCAGATGTTGGAGCGGATTTAGTGGGTAAGGTAGAAGCCGGAATCCCGGAAGACGATCCAAGAAATCCTGCCACCATTGCAGATAATGTAGGAGATAATGTGGGTGATGTTGCAGGAATGGGAGCTGATTTGTTTGGTTCCTATGTGGCAACAGTTTTAGCAGCTATGGTATTGGGGAATTATGTAATAACTGATATGGGAGGAAGTTTACAAGATGATTTTAATGGTATAGGCCCCATATTATTGCCCATGACCATTGCAGGTTTTGGTATATTATTTTCTATTATTGGAACTTTATTAGTGAAAATTAATAATAACCAAGCAAAAGAAAAACAAGTGCAAGGAGCACTAAACATAGGAAATTGGGTTTCCATTGCATTAACCGCCATTTCATGTTATTTTTTAATCGATTACTTATTGCCAGAAACTATGATGATGAAGTTTTTTGGTGAAAACTTAGATGCTAATGGTAACGAAATTGCTGTTCCTATCAATTCTATTAGAGTTTTTGGAGCCGCTATTATTGGATTGATTGTGGGTGGTGTTATTTCTTCTGTAACAGAATATTATACAGGATTAGGAACGAAACCTGTATTAGCCATTGTTCAAAAATCAAGTACTGGGGCAGGAACTAATATCATTGCAGGACTTGCAACAGGAATGATTTCCACCTTTCCTACCATATTGTTATTTGCTTCAGCCATATGGGGGTCTTATGCCTTAGCTGGATTTTATGGTGTTGCATTAGCAGCTTCTGCTATGATGGCAACCACAGCCATGCAATTAGCCATTGATGCTTTTGGTCCTATTTCTGATAACGCAGGTGGAATTGCAGAAATGAGTGAATTACCAAAAGAAGTGAGAACAAGAACAGATATTTTAGACTCTGTAGGAAACACCACAGCAGCAACAGGAAAAGGGTTTGCTATAGCCTCTGCAGCTCTAACTTCTTTAGCTCTTTTTGCAGCTTATGTTACATTTACAGGTATTGACGGAATTAATATTTTTAAAGCACCTGTTTTAGCCATGTTATTTGTGGGTGGGATGGTTCCTGTTGTGTTTTCAGCCTTAGCAATGAATTCTGTTGGAAAAGCAGCAATGGATATGGTTTATGAAGTGCGTAGACAATTCAAAGAAATTCCTGGTATTATGGAAGGAAAGCAGAAACCAGAATATGGTAAATGTGTTGAAATATCCACTAAAGCTGCTCTAAGAGAAATGATGTTACCTGGAATTCTAACAATTGGTTTTCCTATTATTATTGTGCTCATTGGTAAGTTGATATATACCGAAAATAACCAATTGATTGCAGAAATGTTAGGAGGATACATGGCAGGAGTTACTGTTTCAGGTGTATTATGGGCAATTTTTCAAAATAATGCTGGAGGGGCATGGGATAATGCGAAAAAATCTTTTGAAGCAGGTGTTATGATAAATGGAGAAATGACTTATAAAGGATCTGATGCTCATAAAGCTGCTGTCACAGGAGATACAGTAGGAGACCCCTTTAAAGATACCTCTGGACCATCTATGAATATTTTGATTAAATTAACCTGTTTAATTGGATTGGTTATTGCTCCAATTCTGGGAGGAGAAAAACAATTAGACCATAATACAAAAAAAATAGAATCCGCTTCTCCATCTGAAAAAATAACTGTTGATACAATTGATGAAGATGGAAATTACATAAAAGAAGTGGGAGAAATAACAGAGATTTTTTTACCCAATGGAAAAAAGATAATGGTAGGAAATATTGCAACAGAAAATTTATTATTTAATAATTTATCAAATAAAGACTTTGTTGTAGATCAAGATAAAACAAAAGGATGGGTTACATTAGATAGAACGTTTTTTAAAAGTGGAGGAACAGAGTTTTCTAACGTTGAACTAACAAATAATCAAGTCCTTAATATATCAGAGATATTAAAAGCTTATCCAAATGTAAAAATAAAACTTGGCGGATATACAGACAGTGTTGGGGATAAGGAAATAAATAAAACCATTTCTCAAAAAAGAGCAGATGTGATAAAAGAAGCTCTTGTTAAATATGGGGTTGATATTTCTAGAATTGAAAGCGAAGGTTATGGTTCTGATCATTACATTTGTCAATCAAATGATACAGATATATGTAAAGCAAAGAACAGAAGAGTAGATATAAGAATTACATCTTTGTAAGTTCTATAAATTTAACACATTTTATAAATATTAATGAAAATAAACTCTTGTCTTTAATTGATTTTTTGATAAGAGTTTTTTCATATTTTTATATTCTTTTTTCATAAATAAAAGGTTTTTAAGTTATTAAATAATCTATCATGAAATATACCTATTTACCCAATACAGAAGTAAAAGTGAGCAAAATATGTTTGGGTACCATGACTTGGGGTGAACAGAACACAGAGAAAGAGGCGCACGAACAACTTTCTTTTGCAAGAGACCAAGGTGTTAATTTTATTGATACGGCAGAACTGTATGCTATTCCCATAAAAGCTGCTACTCAAGGCTTAACAGAAAAATATATTGGCACATGGTTAAAAAATCAAAAGAGAGAAGATTTAGTCATTGCTTCTAAAGCAGCTGGACCAATGACCAATTTACAACATATTAGAAATATCCCTAAATTTTCGAAAGAACATATAAAACAAGCTATAGAGGGTAGTTTAAGTAGATTGCAGACAGATTATATAGATTTATATCAGTTGCACTGGCCAGAACGTGCAACCAACTATTTCGGTTCTCTGGGTTATAGACACCTTTCAGATGATGTTGTTACCAATTTTAAAGAAACACTACAAACACTAGGAGAATTTATAACTGAAGGAAAAATACGTTATATTGGGTTGAGCAACGAAACCCCTTGGGGGGTGATGCAGTTTCTTAGATGTGCAGAAGAATTTAATTTACCAAGGATTATTTCTATTCAGAATCCATATAGTCTAATAAATAGAGTTTTTGAAATTGGTTTAGCTGAGTTTGCCATGAGGGAACATACACCCCTACTGGCTTATTCTCCTTTAGGTGGTGGATTACTTTCTGGAAAATATGTAAACAACCAAAAACCAGAGGGAACAAGATACCAACTTTTTCCAAACTATTTTAGTAGATATAACCATCCTAATACAACCAAGGCGGTTGAAGAATATAACAAATTGGCATTAGAGGTGGGTATCCCCTTAACAAAACTTTCATTGGCTTATATAAATAGTAGAGAATTTTTATTGGCTAATATCATTGGTGCAACAAAAATGAATCAATTAAAAGAAAATATTGAAAGCATAGAAATCACTTTGTCTTCAGATATAATAAAAGAAATAGAAAGAATACATCTGCTGTATCCTAATCCTGCACCTTAAAGTTAAAAGAATCAGTTCCCAAAAAAAACACGTTTTTATTAAAATTCTTATTCTCCTCCTGCTTACTATTTAAACACTGAGATACAGAGAAAATCCCACTGTTTTTACAATCACAGACCTTTAACCTTATATACCTGGTTTTTGTAATTCTCTATCTCTTCTTGTTCTTTTTTATTCTTTTCTTCTAATTTTTTAGCCATATTTTCGAAGGTTATTACCCAACTCTTTTTTCCCTTTTTTAGGCGTTCTTTAGCTACTTTCCTATAATAGTTAATGGAAGACAGTCTATTTGATTTAATTCTTTCTTGGCAAGCTACTCCCATAGAATCATACAATGCAATTTTTTTTTCTAATTCTTTTAATTTTTTATTATCATCTCTACCAGCAGTCCCTTTTTTCAATATTTCTTGTTTTTGTTGAACATATTTCAACTCTTTTTTAAAATATTTGAGAGTTAATTTTTTTGAATCTTTTTTTTGTGAACCATAAGGTATATTATCCATTCTAGCCTGTGTAAGCCGCATATCTGATAAGGCTCTTTCTGAAAGTCGCATGGTATAGTTAAGACGATCAAACTGAGCATTTAAAGTTAATCCCAATCCAATCAGTATTATTAGGGAGAATATAATTTTTGTATTCATGATGGTAATGCGTTTTTATGTTATAAAACTGAATATAATAAAAAATTGCCTTAGAAATATTACTCTCCAAGACAATTTTTTATTTTCAGAAAAAAAATATTTATTTAACGCCCTTTACCGTTTTAATAATTCTTGCTGCAATTTTATATGGATCACCATTAGAAGAAGGTCTTCTATCTTCTAAATACCCTTTCCATCCATTATTCACTGCAAATAAAGGAATACGAATAGACGCACCACGGTCAGAAACACCATAACTGAAGTCTGTGATGGCAGCAGTTTCATGTTTACCGGTTAATCTTTGGTCATTATAAGCACCATAAACATCCATATGTTCTTTTACTACGGGTCTAAAAGCTTCACACACCCTCTCAAATGTTGCTTTATCTCCACAAGTTCTAAGAAGAGTATTAGAAAAGTTAGCATGCATACCAGAACCATTCCAATCTGCATCCTTTCCAAGAGGTTTTGGATGCCATTCAACATAAACGCCATATTTCTCTGCAGTTCTTTCCAACAAATACCGTCCAATCCATATCTCATCGCCTGCAGCAGCAGCTCCTTTAGCAAAACATTGGAATTCCCATTGACCAACAGCCACTTCTCCATTTATACCTTCTACGTTTAAACCAGCCTCTAAACAAATATCTAAATGTTCTTCTACAATTTCTCTACCAAATGCATTTTTAGCACCAACAGAACAATAGTACTGACCTTGACCAGTACCAGGGTCTTTGCCATCAATAAACCCCAAAGGTTGTTTAGTATCAAAATCATACAAAAAATACTCTTGCTCAAATCCAAACCAGAAATCATTATCTTGATCATCTATGGTTGCACGACCATTAGATGGATGTGGAGTGCTGTCTGCATTTAAAACCTCTGTCATTACTAACCAACCAAATTCTCTTGCAGGATCTGGATAGAGAGCAACAGGCTTTAATATACAATCAGAAGAACCACCTTCTGCTTGTCCTGTAGAAGATCCATCAAAAGACCAAAGGGGACAATCTTCCAATTTACCACTAAAATTTCTTTCAATTTTAGTTTTACTTCTTAGTGCTTGAGTTGGCTTTGTTCCATCCAACCAAATGTACTCTAATTTTGCTATGCTCATAAGATTTATATAGGTTTTAAAAAAATTATTTTCTATAAGCAAAAGTAACCATTTAGATTTTTTAAAATATAAAATTTATTTAATTGATTTATATTTTTAAATTATTTTTTATTAAAGTTTACTTTGTTAATTTTAATTTCGTCTATATTCTTTTAACTTTAAAATGTGAACCGTTAAATTTTATTCATGAGATGGTTTATTTAGTTTATAAGATTGTATCTTCGCACTTACTGATAAAAAGGAGGTAATGGCTGAAAATTTGGTAGATAAATTACGTGCGTTAAAACAAAAATTTGATGAGATTGCAGATCTCATTATTCAACCTGTGGTTATAGCAGACCAAAAAAGGTATATTGAACTTAATAAACAATATAAAGACTTACAAGAAATTGTGGATGTATATAAAATATACCAATCAAAGATGGATATGATTAATGAAGCAACTCAAATTATTTCTGAATCAATGGACCCAGAAATGATGGAAATTGCAAAAATAGAAAAAGAAGAAGCATTAGCTACAATCCCAATACTTGAAGAACAAATAAGATTTTTATTGATTCCAAAAGACCCCGAAGATGACAAAAACTCTATTATGGAATTAAGAGCTGGTACTGGAGGGGACGAAGCTTGCATTTTTGTGGAAGATATGTTTAGGATGTACACCATGTTTTTTAAAGAAAAAGGATGGAATTTTGAAGTAGTTACAGCAAATGAAGGGGGTGTAAAAGGATACAGAGAAGTTGTATTAAATATAAACGGAAATGGTGTTTATGGTAATTTAAAGTTTGAGAGTGGTGTTCATAGAGTTCAACGTATTCCAGAAACAGAATCCCAAGGTCGGGTACATACTTCAGCCATTACAATTGCTGTTATGCCAGAAGCAGAAGAGGTGGATATAGAAATAAATCCGGCAGATATAAAAAGAGATACTTTTAGATCCAGTGGTGCAGGTGGGCAACATGTAAATAAAACAGAATCCGCTGTTAGGTTAACTCATATACCCACAGGAATTGTGGCTGAATGTCAAGAAGAACGCTCTCAACATAAAAATATGGAAAAAGCCATGAAATATTTAAGAGCAAAAATTTATCAAATTGAATTAGAAAAGAAAGAAAAAGAAAGAGCCGAACATAGAAAATCATTAGTATCAACTGGAGACCGTTCTGCTAAAATTAGAACATATAATTATCCGCAAGGAAGGGTAACAGACCATAGAATAAACAAATCACTTTATAATTTAGAGAGTTTTATGATTCTCTAGGATTGAAATGCCAAAAAAACATTGAAACTGATAAATTGGCTTCAATTAGATATTATAGGGAAGAGACTGAAAAACGCAAACAAAAAGGAAAAAAAGGTTGGGTGGTAAAAACATTAGAAACTCTTGCTAGAAAAACAGAAGAAAAGAATAAAAAAGAACAAGAAGAGATAGAGAATTACAAAAACCAGGTATATAAGGTTAAAGGTCTGTGATTGTAAAAACAGTGGGGTTTTCTCTGTATCTCAGTGTTTAAATAGTAAGCAGGAGGAGAATAAGAATTTTAATAAAAACGTGTTTTTTTTGGGAACTGATTCTTTTAACTT